CTTGCCGCATCAAAACACGAGCATTCAGATTCGAGCATGCAATTTATGCCGTAATAGGCCTCTCCCTAGAAATAAGTGCAGCTAAAATTACGTTTACGAAGGATTGAGTTTTTCACCATTGTATGTAAGCTTTCTCCAATCGCCGGGTCGATATTCGACCTGCACTAAAATCATCACGCTTCGTGATAATATACATTGTCTTATAATACTATATTTTATTTCAAATACAAACACTACAAAAGTGACTCAGAGAGCATAAGATACACCAGATATTTTCTCGATGTGCATGCAACTCTGTATTTAAATATATCAATAATTATAAAAATATCTACCAATTAAAGCCTGCATGGATGTATTTAGGACCATCTTTACGAGGAAGAAGCTTGATTAGGGAAGATGTGCAGTCTAAAATTTAATATTCCACTGAAAAGGTCGCGAGTCGCGAATAAACTAGAAAAAACGAACGGAAAATGTTAAAGAGCCTACCTTCACTGATCCTCTTGAAATTTCTCAATGTACATGGTTTTTCATCTATCGCGTGTTGTGAATTAACCGTTGTCAAAATTACCGCACACGATACGAATAAAATTAACATTTTGCAGGAAAAATATAAATGCGACGTGATCCGCCTGGCTCAAATGAGTCAACTGTACGGCAGTCAATTGCACCAGGCATTTATAACAGTGCTTTAATTACATAGCAGGTGCTTTTTGTAACTGCAATAACTGGAGTTTATTTGCCGGCTATGAACTTTTTCTCAAACGCGATCTGAAACCGACAAAGTTAAGACAAGGAAAATGACACAGCTTTCATTTTGTCTTGAGTATTTAAAAGACTGTAATATTATAACCTATAATTTTGTCCGCCGGGAAGAAACGCATGATAAAAAAATCGAAAATCGAATTAGAATTGTTTACACAAGAGGTCGTTAATTTTTTACCGTCGGCAAATTCGTGGCATACACCATGCATATAACACGTGACTTAGAAGTCGAAAAGCTTATACTGTATATAGTTTTCTTTCAATAATGGAATTTTTCCGGAATATTGTACTTTGAGCTGTTTCAGACGTCGAACTTTTTATGCGCCGATCGAACCTTATGTTAACGAGCTAAAGTGTTTCGTCTGCTGTATGCTCCAATGTCAATGAGTCAACTCTATGTACGGCAAACGTCAAATACACCAAGCATCTATATGATTTTATACAGCCATTCAATTACACAACATGCATGCATTTGCTTTTATCACTGCAATTATTACTGGATATTTTTAGCAACACGTGCAATATCGTAGTTTTATACATTATAAGATGAGGATTGTCTTCAAACGTCGAACTTTTCATGTGCCGAAGCTAATGTTAATGAGCTAAAGTCTTTCATTAAATATTTGCATTCGATTCGGCACATAAAAAGTTCAACGTTTGAAACGGGCCTTAATAAGGTAATAATTGAAAATGGCCAAGTTATATGCGGTGTTTCAAACACATAATAATATGTTTGCTATATTGGTGACTTTAAACGGGAAAACATAAGTTAACGCTATTTCGTTAGTTTAAAAATCTCGTTCGTTCGCCGTTCGTTTGATTTGTTCTAAGGATTATTGAGACAGGGGAGTGCGCGGTTTAAGGGGTTTGGCACCCCCTCCCCCCGCAAGCTCTTTAATAAATTAGTCTTAAAGTCGGTTCGAAAAACTCTCTATGGACTAGTTGAGTCGGTCCCAAAACCCATTTGGGGCGGGAGTTGCTCATTCGGGTAATGGTTAATTAGCCTAAAATTAAGAGTTAATCCTCTTGAAATTTCTCAATGTACATGGTTTTTCATCTTTCGCGTGTTGTGAATTAACCGTTGTGAAAATTACCACACACGATACGATTAAAATTAACATTTTGCAGGGAAAATATAAATGCTACGTGATCCGCCTGGCTCAAATAGTCAACTGTACGGCAGTCAATTGCACCAGGCATTTATAACAGTGCTTTAATTGCATAGCAGGTGCTTTTTCTCACTGCAATAAGTGGAGTTCATTTGCTACGATCTATTTCTCAAAGCGATTTGAAACAGACAAAGACACAAAATTAAGACAAGGAAAATGACACAGCTTCCGTTTTGTCTTGAGTATATTTAAAAGACTGTAATATTATAACCTATAATTTTGTCCATCGCGAAGAAACACATGCATGTAAAAAATGGAAAATAGAATTAGAATTGTTTACACAAGAGGTCATTAATCTTTAACCGTTGGCAAATTCGTGGCATACAACCATGCATAAAACACGTGAACTAAAAGGAAAAAGCTAATACTGTATATAGGTTTCTTTCAATAATGGATTTTTTCCCGGAATATTGTACAATGAGCTGTTTCAGACTTCGAACTTTTTATGTGCCGATCGAACCTTATGTTAATGAGCTAAAGTGTTTCGTCTGCTGTATGCTCCAATGAGTCAACTCCATGTACGGCAAACGTCAAATACACCGAGCTTCTGTGTAAACAGCTATTTAATTACACAACATGTATGTGCTCTTTGTCGCTGCCATGATTACTGAAGTTAATTTGTTATGACCTTTTTCTTAAACACTATCGGCAACCTACAAATTAACCTAAGACATGGAAACGGGACAGAGCGTCCGTTTTGTCTTGAGTATTCAAAAGACGGTAAAATATTACCTATAATTTTGTAAATCGCAAAGAAATACATAATAAAAAAATTAAAAATGAAAGCGGAATTATAATTGTTTACACAAGAGGTTGTTACGTTAATTTTTGACCGTCGCCAAATTCATCACATACAACTACGCGTATTCTAAACAAATAAACCAATAGCAATCTTATAATTAACATATTTTTTAAGTCAAGGTTAGGAGCTTTGCTAGACGAATGCCATGGGTACGTTTGGCTAAAATACAATAGAAACGTGACGAGAAAGGAACCATTTTTCATAAACTTGAACAATAACATAGTTAATGAATTGCATTGTACTTTTTAGTCTCCAAACCATGTATGTTCTATTAACTGTGATATAACACGTGACCTGAAAGAGAAAAAGCTAGTATATATAAGTGTATATAGCTTACTTTCAATTTTAGGACATTTTTGAGCAATATCGTTGTTTTATACCTTATAAGACGTCTTTCAGACGTCGAACTTTTCATAAGCCGAAGCTAGCGTTAATGAGCCAGTCTTTCATTAAAGTGGCAGTCAAGTCCGTTTTGCGCACGCGCGTGTTTTGTTTACATCGTGAACTATTATATATATATTACATGAAGTTTGCCGCCTATTACTTCCGGTTTTCACGAAATTTGAGAATGTTGAAAATTGAGCGCATCTTTGTTATCAATTGCATGAAATTTGCATACTATACGGTGTCGATTTCATATCTTCTGATTTCTCTGACACTGTTGGACCGCACTTTTTTTCTACACCGTTGAATCGGACAATATTTCTTGTAATATGGACGAAAGTTTGGACGTTGGGGATGCAGAGCGACTGCAAATTGAAGGGATTGCCCAAGTCGCTAACTTGGACGAGAATACAACGTGTTCCTGCAGTGGTATGTGCCTGCGCGAAAAAGGACGAAATGCTTGTCCATGCAAAACAGCGAGACAATATTGCAGTTTAGCGTGCCATGATGGACTATCGCTTACGTGTAGGAATCGCCGTCATTACATCGAGAGCGATTCAGATTCTTCTGAACAGTACGAGGTAGGAAAAGTTTTATTGGGTTCTTCGGCTTCTGGATTTTGTTAAATATTTATATATTTCCCTTTTGAATATTCCAGGACAATGAAAGCGAATTACAAGATGTGTCAATTGACTCCGTTCAAACAAGGTCGAGAGGTCGATCTACAAAACGTGCCAGAATTAGCAGAGAGAGTAGGAGCGAGGATGAAGGACAGGGCACCGAAAATCGAGGCAGAGGTCGTGGAAGAGGTCGGGCAAGCGGTCGGGCAAGAGGTCGTGGAAGAGGTCGGGGAAGAGGTCGTGGAAGAGGTCGGGCAAGAGGTCGAGAAAGTGGTAGGGGAAGAGGTCGAGGGAGATTAGTTGAAGAAGGCGACTCTCAACAACGAATTATGGCTCATGACCAACAACTGCAGGCATGTAAATGTTTTTGACATTGTCCTTTTAATTATAGAGTAAAATTATAGAGTAATTAATTTTGCAATAAAATACAATTTCAGGACTTGGTTGCACAACTTGATGAGGCAGCAGTAAGGAGATTGGCATTGGAACTCCTGAGAAGACAGCCGGCAGCATTTGCTGACTTGGTTGATGGAGAGTTGGCAAACCCAGCAGGTGAGCAAGCTCCACCACAGCCTAACCCCCCACCGGCAGATAGTCCAGACTGGTGCTTTTGTGGTTGTTGTGCCCCAATGCCAACACAAGAGGAAAATAAATGTTGCTGCCGTAGAGTAATGCCCTGTATTACAACCAGTCCACTTTTCCTCCAACTGGTTTTGGATGGCAATGTACTAGACATTGCTATGAGGTACAGAGAAGATGTACTTGTAGCTGACCATGCAAGAAACAATGAAAACTTTCGTCATGCTGCTTATCGACAGTACGTTTTATGGCAATATGGACGTCTAGGCCGAGGTAACAGAGTTGTTGTGCCAAGTTGCTGCGTATTGAAAATAAGAGCGAGGTATCCATCACCAAATGGATTGTATGTAGGATTCAGACCTGCTCGACTTTGAAGACTCAAAACAATACTGACATTTTGGCAAGTTAATGATGACATGTAATAATGTGTAATAAATTATTGACACTTCACTAGTGGCATGGTATGACCAGCGATGTTACTGGTTATGTAACTTTATTCATTTACTGTTAAGATGATAGATTTTTGAAAGCAACAATTTATAAGATATGCCCCCTCCCAATATTTAAATTCCCACAAATCATCTAAAATTACATATATAAATATGGTCTACGGATATGCAAATCAATTGTCGGTGCCACAAGTACGGTATTCCCTCATATATCAAAACCTTGTTTGGTGTCGTCTCAGAAGCTCTTCCATCGGAGGCTGGGGTACCACAGCAATATTTTGGCAATGTTCCTTGGGTCATCTGGAGCAAGACCTAATCGCTGTGTTACATGGCCAGGTGTAGCTCTTCGTTTTTCAAATATTGCAATGATTAACTCTGGCAAATATTTGTATTCCTTTGGCTCAAGGACTGCAACTGGGCACCATTGCTTTGTCCTTTTACTGTAGTGTGCTTTATATCTAGAATGCATTAAAAATTTTGATTAAATTATACCATTTTGAGTCGCATTAAAAGGTGGCATAATTCCTGGGTAGAATAGACAAAACATTTTAAGGGCCTTGAGCATCAGGTGAGTTAATATTATATTAACTCTTGTTATAGGTGACATTATAATTCACAACAGCAAATCAAGATGTTTAACCCAAATGTCAACTCATGTGAGAATATCCCTTGAATGACATGTCACATTAATGAAGAGTGGTACAATAAAACGAACCTTGGTTTTCCATCCAATGTCTTTGCAACTTGTCTTTTTCTATGTTTATTAAAATCAATTGCTGCCAATTGATTTCGCATCTTATATCCAACTAACCTTAAAAATAAAAAAGCAATTTTTATATAGCCTAGGTTATTCCTTAACATGCAAGTGCATGACCAGCCAGCCCATAGAATAAAATTTCAAGATAACTTACGTATATGATTGACGTTTTGCACAGTACATTAACAAATGGTTGTGGAAAGATTCCAGAAAACCTGTATGCCTGAAATATCAAAAAGTACATATACAAGTGCAAACTGAGAGGCATTGTATCATATTTGGGATATTATGTGGGCTATATCTTATTTTTGGCTACATCTCGAAAAACGCCTACTGGTTAAACAATAACAACATCCAAGTACTAGTATTGCATTTATGTATCATAATAGTGGGTATCTGTATAGCAATTTGCTAAAAATGTAATTACCTAAACCTGGTGTAATATGGCAACTCATTTAATAGTCGCTTATTAAGGACAATGCTTCTCAAAGCTTTATGCGATGAAGAATCTTTTGCCAGCCATGGTTTTGCTCTTTCCTCTTCCGTTAAAATGTCATGGCCACATTTCCCATCTCCTATGCCATCCTTCAATGCCCATTCGTGTTCATTGACAATATGATGGAGAATCCCTATCCACAAATCCTATTAGAAAAAAAATTAATGAGATATGACATTAGATATGGTACAGGACAAATGGATAGTAAATAAACATAAATGCCAAAATTTGTGTCAGTTCCAAAGGGTAATACTGCAGCATGCACCATTTTATTAAATTTTATGAATACCAGCAAAAGGTTTAAAATTTTCAATTTGCAACATACTTTTAAATTATCAACATTGCCACCACAGTTGCGACTGGAATACCAAAAGTGGTTTCTGACAGACGCAATCCACAAAGAAAGATCTTCGTTTCCTTTTTCATTGGCAGCCTAGGTTAATAAGCATAACCTAATGTCTTAGTTACCAAGCACAATTCTGCACAACTATTTTGGATACTCCATTTGTTAAATGTGAATTAAAAATGAAAAAGAAAACAAGTTTATCAATCAAAAGGTGCACCATAAACTCATGCTTAATCATAGAAGTTCAATACATACAGAAATAACTTTTTTTCCAATAATTTTGCACCATGCCAAACATCTCTTTGATGCACAATGTCTTTATATTTTGCAGCATTTTCTAAAAAACACACAGTTGGGAAATCAGCAATTTCCATACAATATTTATTTGAGCATCATGCTATACATTGTTGAAAACAATAGGGTGACATAAAAGATATAACCATGCAATCAAAGCAAAATTTATTAGCTAAAAGCATAGCAACAATCAAGTTGTAAAAATAAAACTCTTGCATGCAGTAATAGACCACCTAAAAGTTGTGAAGCATTAAAACTTGAATGTTTCAAGCAAACACCTTTTATCTGTAGGTCACAAGGAATTTGATGAGGTTTATAAACTATAAAGGAAACAATACAATGAAGAATACTTACTCATTAATGCACCAATCTCCAAATGGCCATCGGTAACAACCTCTTTGATAATCATTTTTGATTTCAATAAATTATCAAGCCCTCTTTCAAATCCAATTCTTTCCATGTTTGGACTTTTTCTTCCCTCAACTTCCCTCACTTCAACAAAGTTGATGTCTAAAATGCACTTAGAGTCCATTTCAGCAAATGTATAAGTGCAATACTGTGCACAATGTCCAGGTGAATCATTGCGCCCATCTGAACTAAGCACGATGTCTTGATTCTCACGCTCTGCCCAACACGAATTCTTTAATTCCTCCCAATAGCTGTTAACTGCTGGAGCTATATATAAATTCTGGTATTGGTTGTACAAGTTTTTGGATATAAACTGCACATTCATGACTTGGAAAAGAAATCCAATCTTTGTATATGAATTGCCAGAAAGAGGTATGGCAGATGCCAAAAGCAAATTTCCAGCACGAACACCTTCACAAGTTGGTTGGGCAGCCCATCTAAAATGAAGCATTGGTTCTTCAATTTTAGAAGTTTTCAAAATGATCAAGATACATGAATAATATAAATGTTGTGTTTATCCATTAAAAGTACCTGGTTACTTGTTAAAATTATCATTAATACCAAAAAATGAAACGCAAAGTTGGAAATAGACATACCTCCCACCAAAGTGGCCAGCAGAACAACCCCAATTTACAACTAGGCATGTTCCAACAAAGGAATTCCCAAAATTCAATGGACGATTACATCCACTTCTTGTACAAACAGGACCATGTAGCTTTTCCAGTAGTTCCAAAATTATTGCTGTTGATGCTAAGCATAACTCTAGTTTTGGAACATCAATGGATGGTATATGACGAACAAAACTTTCTTTGTTACTTTTTTGGGCTGTTTCAGTGTCAACACCACCAGTAACACCATCATCATCATCCGTCACTGTGACCATTGATTGTGGTATCTAACACTTCTTCTTCCAAGGAGACCCTATCAATGTCATTCTAACCCTATATACTATAAATGTCTATAGTCAAGTGCTATATTGGGTAGTCATTTCTTTACATTACATTAGAGCTTAAAAACCTGAATTCAAGCAGTTTATAAACATACATTGGATGTCCTAGTGATATTTGACTATTGTCCTCCAATTCACTATCATCAGAATCAATGGCTGATAATGTTTCCTCATCATCTACAGTTTGTGTCCTACAATAGGTAACAGAGATAACAACATTTTTATATTCCTTTACAAAGAATTACTTACAATTCGGTAGTAATTATACATCGACATGACCTTTTTTTATTGTTGTCATTAAAGGTACTTGGGTGTGGAGCATGTATGTATGATGTATCGTTAGTACATACATGTGCATGAATCAAAACACATTTGACATAAAATACCTTAGTGCGTCTGTGGACCCAAGTAACAGACGTCTCCGTTTAGTAGCGACGGGAGGCAAAGATGAATGCGGCCTTGTTTGAATACGCGGGGTCGATGATAAAACTAAAAGGGAAAATATAAAGCATGGGTTACCTATCTCCATTCATTTAAAGACGTCGTTTAAAGTGACATAATGTCGATATAAAACTTTACTTGGGCTAATGGCCATAGGCATTGCTGACAAATCCGCAGCGCTGTTTCAAAGTTTGTCTGTGTCTCCGCGTCACTGAAATAAATCGGTTCAGATTTAGAAGAACGTAATTTATGTATATGCGATTCAAATTATGAATAATTCAAATTTCTCACCTCGAAATACGGGCACCTTTTTCGTAATGATCTAAAAGCATTTCAGCCAGTTGTTTGTCTGTCTTCAAATTTAGCTCGTCTTTCAGACATCGCCAACGCTGATATTGCTCGTAAAGAGCTATTTTTGTCGAATCTCGCTTTGCGATGTAATCTTTGCGTTTCGTCTTTGCATCTTCACTGCTTGGGACGCTAAAATTCGCGGAGCTTTCGGCACTGACATGTGAGGAGCTTTCGCACTCCTCCATGTTGAACGCTGTGTTTTCACTGTTTTGTCACAGCTGACAGCTTGCCTCCTGACTAAATACGCATGCGTATGGGGATATAATTTCATTAAAATTCCTTTCTGTGGGCCCACAGAAAGGAATGTGCGTACATGCGCAGCACGGACTTGACAGCCACTTTAAATATTTGCATTCGATTCGGCTCATAAAAAGTTCAACGTCTGAAACGGGCCTTAATAAAGTAATAATTGACAATGGCCAAATTAAATGCACATGACAGCTGCGGTATTTCAAACACATAATAATATGTTTTTGCCATATTTGTGACTTTCAACGGGGAAATATCTCGTTTGTTATCCGCTCGTTTCAGTTGTTTTAAGGATTATTGAGTCAGGGGCGTGCTTTATGGGGTGCGGCACTCCCCCCAATCTCTTGGTAAATTAGCCCTAAAGTCGGTTCAAAAACCCCTTTATGGGACTAGGTCAGTCGGTGCCAAAACCCGTTTGAGTGAGAGATGCTGATCTAGCTTATATCGGATTTATATAATTGTTTTGTGCCGAGCTTCGTCTTCAATAATGGACTATAAAAATTGTGGTTAACATAGTTCCACAATAATATGGCCCAGGGCCATGCAGGTCATGCAAACTATATGTCGCCATTGTAAAATGCAGTTTTATTCCTATTACAATATAATTATTTTTCAGTATCCAATTTATCATTTTTAATTTGATTGATAACACGTCTTCTTAATTCACCCTCTCCTTTCTTTTGAGTCTCTGTTCACGCACGGGAATCGGATGGACTATTACGTTTTCAACCTTAGTGCTGCTAGCCTTGATCTCCAGAGGATACAATTTTGCTAACGGTCTAAATATCCATAAATTATAATGAATGTTCTTAACTTAACGGTAAGCAACTCTTCTAACATCAATTTATATCAAAACTCTCTACTGGGGACTTTCGATATAAATTGATGTTAGAAGAGTTGCTTACCGCTAAGTTAAGAATAATCATTATATGGATTGACGGCAAAATAACCAAAATAAAGTCTTTGTTTTGTGTAAAATGGTACAAAATCATAAAATATTGAATGCGTATATAAATAGTGTTTTGATACTCTTTAGTGTTAACCTCTCCCCTGAATATGGTTTGCGTATTCATTTCCGGAACGGTGTTTCCGTGCTTCCGGTAGAGTCCACCTTTTACTAACGAGTCCAACCCACCTTTTACTATATAACGAGTGTAGTCCACCTTTTACTAACGAGTCCAGTCCACCTTTTCTAACGAGTCCAACACACCCTTTACTATATAACGAGTGTAGTCCACCTTTTACTAACGAGTCCAGTCCACCTTTTCTAACGAGTCCAACACACCTTTTACTATATAACGAGTTAGTCCACCTTTTACTAACGAGTCCAGTCCACCTTTTCTAACGAGTCCAACACACCTAGTTACTATATAACGGTACAGTCCACCTTTTCTACAGTCCAGTCCACCTTTTCTAACGAGTCCAACACACCTTTTACTATATAACGAGTGCAGTCCACCTTTTACTAACGAGTGCAGTCCACCTTTTACTAACGAGTCCAACACACCTTTTACTATATAAAGAGTCCAGTCCACCTTTTACTAACGAGTCCAACACACCTTTTACTATATAACGAGTCCAGTCCACCTTTTACTAACGAGTCCAACACACCTTTTACTATATAACGAGTGCAGTCCACCTTTTACTAACGAGTCCAGTCCACCTTTTACTAACGAGTCCAGTCCACCTTTTACTAACGAGTCCAGTCCACCTTTTACTAACGAGTCCAGTCCACCTTTTACTAACGAGTCCAGTCCACCTTTTACTAATGAGTCCAATCCTCCTTTTACTAATCCAGTCCAGTCCATGTTTTACCGAATTCGTATCTTCATTGGCTGTCAGAACAGCGAGAACAAAAAACAGCCAATGCATGAGGTTACAAATTCGTCATTTTTCAAACGTTCTCAAACGTCTACAGCGCGGATCCAGCAACGGCCAATCCAAAAAATGAGTAAAATATCAAAAAACATATTCACATTTTTCTCGCTTCTATAACTTGTTTTCAAAGTTAAAACATAGGCAGTATATAGTAAAAATATTTCAGATTTCATTTCACTTGTTATTTTAGATTAGTTTTAGGTATTAACTGGCGTATTTTCGGATTGTTTTCATGTGTACATCTCGATATTGTGATTAAAGTTGCCTACCTAGGATATAATATTATACCATGCATGGATAATAAAATCACAATAATAAACTCTTTTAACTATTCATAATTATACAATATAATAGACTACCTACATTGCATGATCATTGTCAGACACACATATTGATATTCGCATGTAAATTATAGACAAGTACATAAGCATGTAAATAAATGACACAATGTGTCTATTTCATCAAAGTGTGCATTTTTATTTCAAATGGGGATTAGAATTTAACTCCTGAAATGGTGTTTATTTGTAACCTCAATTATTTTAACACTGTTTTTGGTGTTAAAATAACACCTGAAAGAACTTGTCGATACTCGATCGATTCATTGACTTCTAAGTCGAATCATGAGTCGAGTCCTTGCTCGATATAGTAAGTATATATTTTAGCCCTTTGTTTAATGTTATTTCTAAACAGCGTGCTAAGTTAGTTGGGCCTTCAAAGCAATTGCAATTCTTCAATTTGCAATTCAATTGTAAATCAAGGTGATTCAAATTCATCTTCCTCTTCAGCTCGATATTATTCATATCAGGCTATATATAGCTCATAATCGCATGCGTGGAATATTATCGTAAAATTTCCTGCATTACTCATTTGTCAATTGCGATTAGAGTGGCGGAGACAGTCTGACAATTTACGGAATTAGTCCCGCTGCGCAATTTTAAGTCATTATATCTTTTTATTAGGAAATTTATTGTTTTTGCTGAAGTTGATTCAGTCGAAAAACACCTTAATAATATCAGCGAATAGCGGACTAAATCGCTAGGCTGGCCACTCAAACATTCTGAACGTTAAAATAAACTTCGAACATAGCGTATTCATTGATGTAATTCATCATTTCATCACTAAATGCAAGGGAAAATTGGGTAACGTGGGTGGCGAACGTAGTAATTATAGACTAACGTAATTCCATCACCGACAACTAAATTGTCCAAATTACGTAATTTTGATTGATAAACCGATAAATAATGGATAAAACGTTTATCTAAAAATTCAATGAATACTTGTCATTCTATTGGTGATGGGTTCCAATTAAAGATGCGGGAAGCATCTTGGCAGCGTCTTCAAATAATTTCGCATCAAATGTGGAATAAAGGCTTTCATCAGGAGATTCATTCTATTTATTGCAGAAGTCGGCTCCCTCTGGCGACTACATGCAGTGTTGACCACTTCATTTCTACATCAGTTATCAAACACATGTCTCTAACGGTTAAGAGACAGTTAAGAGACAGTTAAGAAGAGCAACATTGTTTGACTTGTTAACCTGAATGTGAGGTCTCACCATCCACAGTATAAGCAACCATGAGATTACATCATGAGAAACTGTCTCTGAAACGATCAGTTATAGACATTTTTTCATAAATTGTTTGAAGTTCTGATAAGATAAGTATGCATGAATCTGACCTAGCAATCTATAGCCATTGTCTGCATAGATTGTGATAATATCTGGCGACAACATAGAGAAATCAGCTGACAGCAATGCATCTTGGAAGGTTGTCAGCTATACATTGTTCGCTACTGGAACTTTGACAGTAAAACAACGTATTGATCTTATATAGAAAATAAACTACAGTTGTATGGATAATTGATAATCATGTTTCCGTGTTTACGAGTTTAACAGCACGAACATAAATAGCTACAAGTTTGGAAATTCAAAATATCTGCTTTTGGGAAATATATAAATGCAGTTACAATTGAACACATAACCGGGTTTAAACCTGGAGCCTATGGTCAATAAATTTTTTTATAGCATAATCAAATGGTTGTTTCTAAATTATTAAAATAGCGAAGTTATGCTCAAGCTGAGTTCGGTATTTGTACTCTTGATGTATTTGTTGTTAAAAGGAATTAGCTATTTGTGTTAAAATACCACAACGAATATACTGTATAATATTCAGGAAAATTTATGTTTAAGAAGGCAACTGAAGCAAGTGAGTGCAAACAAACCTTGAAATACTGTATACTGAGTCGATAGAGTTCCGGGTGACGACAGAAATGCGTCATGCACAAGTGCATGTAAGCTAGATATTATATAGTGAGCCTTGATCGAGAAAGTTCCTCATATTGTACTGGCGTGTATTGATAGAAAGCATATTAGTCAAAATCTGAAGTTATAAAGGGAAAAGTTTTACATTGTACAAATAAATTTAAACAATTCCTTCTAGAATCGTTACGTATTTAAAATGTTTGAGGTAAAAACTGGAGAAATCTCTGCAAAGCCGGTCAAAGTTTCATGAACTATTTTTACATGGCTTAACTATTACTTCTGCCGCCCCAATTTGCCCCTGTTATGAAATCCTTATAGATTTACTGGAATGCATGGAATGAGGTTGAAGCTTAAGTTTAGATCTGCTTTCATTAAAACTTCGGGTTGCTCGGTTTTATAATTTGCCATGTGTAATAGCGTCAAGTGGCATGCATTGCGTGGGGCAGA